TTATTATTATTATTATTATTATTATTATTCTCTTGACCTTCATTCCCTTTCTTGAATTGTTACGAACAAACATTTTATACAAAGTGAGAGAATGGGCGCTTCCAGCTCCCGCAACGAATACGAAAAGGAAAAGGAAAAGAAAGAAGAAATTCCCTTTCTTGATCAGATAGCAGTAGATCGACTATGTAGAGAGGCATACACCGCCGGTGCGGAAGATGCTGCTATTCACTACCAGGGAGTATTGGAGTCTCAGTGGCAACTCGATGTGGCTGTTGGGGCAGGTGGATGTGCAGCCACACTGCTCTTATCGTATATGTACTTTAGTGCCCAAATGGCAGAGAGGGAAGTGCGGGCTAATCAACTCATTAACGTGGAGAAATCCATGGTGCAACAACTGCAGCAGGAAAGTAATGAGATGCAAACCCGAATGGCAAATCTTGTAGAGGCAAACAGACAACAACAAATTCGTCTCACAAGATATGAGACTCTGCTGCGGCGTACACGACAACATCAGGCGAAATTACGACGTACAGTTACACAATTGCGACAACGTGGGGCTCATCTCACGGGTGAAATGAATAACATGCGAGAATCGATAACAAAATTAAATCATCACATGACAATGGCACGATACACTAGTAGTGGAAGTGTGGTAGTAGCGTTAGTTGGATGTCTTGTTGCTATGGTATCTATTCGAAGTGGTGAGAGTAGGAAGGAGTTATCATTGTAGATTACATCATTTAATGTGTTGCATATCCAAGTAAAGGTTATGAGAAATATAAAGGTATGAGAAATAATGAACGAGTGATGTGTCTCCTTTTTTTTTAGAAACATTTGACACCTTATTTCTTCTTTTATTCGTTTTCTTCTTCTTATTTCTGTTTCTTATTTTCCTTTTCATTGTTATGTCTGTCTTTCATCAAATACACATGATTCTTGTATTCTACTTTTTTCTCCTTTATTTATCTCTTTATGCATATCGGCATCTGGTAATGTTTGATTACTCCTTACTTTGATGTCTTTTTTTTTTTTTGTATGAGCGTTCTTTCTTTCTTTCTTTCCTTTTTATTTTTTCTTTTGTGTGCATGTGTCTATGTGTGTATCTTTCTTTCTTTTTCTTCCTTCTGTTCTCTACACTTTTATATTTCCTTTCCCTTTTTCATATACATATATATATAGGCTGCGTGAATGAAAAGGGGTGCTGTGCGGGCCCCATCAGTGCTGCTGCTGCTGCAGGATTCCTGCAGTGCACTCGCTGTGTGTGTTTTGGTACACAAACACCAACGCAGCCGCCAAACACGCAACCGCATCGCCGATTGTGTTTGCCGCACACTTTCTACTCACGCCACCCTCCCACTCTCCACCGCAGTTACGACTACTACTACTACTGCCACTATCAGTAGTAGTAGTAGTAGTAGTAGTACTAGTGCTATCAGTAGTAGTAATGATATTAAGAATTCCACACGTCTTGTGTACATTGGCGTTGCGACGGGAGTCTTCTCTGCTACTACGGTTGCCCGCTGCTACACACTCCTGCCATCACCAGGCCGTCTCTTTGTGGATTATTGTCTTTCATGGGCCCGCCACGCCCAGAGTGAACAGACACGGCAGTATATTGCCAGTCAACGCATGGCTGTACTGCAGACAATGGGCGGTGGATGGGCATCGCTGCGCCGCGCCGACAAGGCACTCCGCTGCGCCCTGCTGCTGTACTACACCGCCCTGCAGTTGCACGACGCCAGCACGCAGCGGAAGTGTCGTGTCTTTGTTGGATGGGCACATCTCTGGAACGGCGATGTGCGGCGGGCTGTGGAGATATTTAAACAGCAACAAGAGGAGGCACGGGAGGTGGGCGACACTGTGCAGGAACTGCGGTGCAGCGCCGCCCTCCACCACGCAGAGTATAATCCCACAGTGGTGAGGAGCCACGGAGGCTTTTCACTCGCCTCCTGCTGGACAGATATCTTTGCCTAGCTCTGATAACAGAGGCATGGGTGTGTATGTGTGTGTGAGAGAGAGAGAGAGAGAGAGACTGTGTGTGTGTGTGAGTGTGAAGTTAAGAAAAGAAAAAAAAAATAAATAGAATGAGAAAAAAAAAGATGTGAAATGACGTATTTCTCGGTAAGCATGCTTGTGTCTCTGTGTGGTGGGCGTTGAAGCTGCATTCGTGTCTATTTATTTTTCTTCTGTACGACCAAAATCGACGATACGAACGGTTAGAACTATCATTTTATTATTATTATTATTATTATTATTATTATTTTTATTATTATTATTATTATTATTATTATTAGTAGTAGTAGTATGGCAATAATCACCATCATATGAATAAGAATAAGAATGTTTACCTTTTTCATATTCTTTTTTTTTTGTTTTTATTCACTCACCACTCATGTTGCAACAGGTTTCAAGGGAAGGGAAAAAGAGAAAAAGGGAGAACGGCCAGCTGTGAGGACTAGAGTAGAGAAACAAAACGGAATCAAATCCGCCATCACGTAAGAGGTATACTACCACAGGGGAAAATAATAATAATAAAACCAACAACAACAACAGCTGTAGTAAACGAGAGAATTGTGTGCGTGTGTGAGAAAGAGAAAGAGATAGGATTAGCAAATGGAGCCACGAGAACACCGCAGTATCACACCAGAGCAGCAACTGCAGATCATTAAGACAATCCTCACACTCCGCTCTCTCGGCGATGCAGAAGCAAGTGAGAAGTTGCGTGCCCGTGTGCGCCGCTCTCTTCTGCAGTCTGAGAGTGATGAGGAGGCGATTGCGTCAGCCGAACAATTACTGCGCCGCTACACAAAAGCCGTGAAGAAACTCGACGGCTCGTACGAGAGAGAGCGTGAGTTAAAACGACGTCGAAGTGAGATGTTGGCGATGCGGGCGTCAAAGTTTGTGGATGATCAGGCGGAAAGCGGTGATGATAGTGAGGAGAACAATGAGGATGAAAGTGAGAATAATGATGAGAAGTGAAAGAATGATGGATGAAGAGTTATGATTGGTAGAAATATATATATATATATTTCTGTTTGTGTATTTGTCTCTGTGTGCAGCATATGCAGTATAAGTCTTCTGTAAATTTGGTGGCAGCTTGTCTGCTTGTGATTACCATTGCACACTATACTCACTTTTTTTTTTTTACTATTATTTTTTAAAAAAATCGCTGCTACCCCAAGGATAGTAGTAGTGATAGTAGTAGTAACTAACTAATAATAATACTGTTCTGCATTTATTGTGGTTACACAAAGACTTATATCTTCAATGTCTTTCTTTTCTTTATATAGTCTAAGATATACAAACATATATACATACATACATAGGGTGTGAAGAGTAGTAGAGTGAAAGAGAGAGAATCTGTTATTACTTTATTTCTTTGAGAAACAACAAGAACCCTTACAAGGCTGAAAATAACTGAGAACAATACTACAAATGGCTTCTCTTGGTCGAGTGCAGTTAAATCTCCAACGGTTGGGCATTACTCTTCCAACCCCTGCTACTCCACTATCGAACTACGTACCCTACGTCCTGAGTGGCTCACATCTACACATCTCTGGTCAAATGTCTATAAAGCCTGATGGTACCATCTGCACTGGACAGTTGGGCACAACAATGGAGGTGGATGAAGGGAAGGCAGCAGCACGAAGTTGTGCACTGCTTGTGGTCAGTCAAATACAAGCAGCACTGGGGGATCTTGATCGTGTGAAAAAGATTGTGAAACTCAACGTGTTTGTGAATTCCTCTCCGTCTTTTACACAACATCCGTTTGTTGCAAATGGTGCCTCCGATCTCATTGTGAGTGTCTTTGGTGAAGACGTTGGAAGGCATGCACGATGTGCGGTGGGAATGGCGCAGTTGCCGTTAGGTGCGGCTGTGGAGGTGGATGCACTCGTGGAGGTGAGTGATACACACACAAAGTAAAAAAGAAAAAAATAAAAGGGAAGAAACGAGGGAGAATGCGAACGGTCATTGGGGAAAGAAAGAACATATATATTTTTGCGTGTGTACATGTGTACATGCAAATGTGATTCTTTAGTATTTAATGGGTAATACTTTGGTATTATTGACTTTTTTTTTGCTATATTATTATCATGATGATGATTATTATTATTGGTTTCTTTTTTTTTTTTTTCGTTTTTATTTTAATTTTATTGTTGTTTCAGATAACACTAATAAGGGTTCATTTCTGCTCCATATTTTATTATATTGCCTTCTAGTGAGGGTGGAAAAAGTCATTAGACATATATATATATATATATATAGAGAGAGAGAGAGAGAGACAGAGAGAGAGAGAGTGAAAGATGGAAAGAAAAGAAGGAGTCAGTATGCAATTTGAAGACCAACGGATAGTAGAGGCTGACCCAAATACGGATGATGATAGCATCACCACAGCTAGCACCTCATCCATATCCGATGACGAGGTGGATGTCTCCTCACAAGGACATGTGAATGGCACAGTCCACACTAATAATAATAATAATAATAATAATAATAATCATCATCATCATAACAGTGCAATTACTGTAAAGAAACGTACGTACGATCACTACTATAATCGTTTATCTCGCCATGTGCGTAAATTGTGGGGAGAAGAGGAGCCCTATACACCAACCCGTGAAGATGCCGCCATGTGGCCACAGCGTCTCTACTACACATGGGTCACTGACTGTATTTACATCGCCGCGCGTGAAGAACTGCGGGTGGATTTACTCCTGCGCCCCCGCCGCTCACACCGATCACATGAGTGTGGAAGTAAACTCTCCGCCGCAACCCACCGCAGCCTGCAGCGACGCCAGGCGTGGAATATACTCATTGGAACTCCCGTAGGCCATCGCGATGATAAGAACAGTCACGGCACACTACGGTGGGTTGGTGTGCCAAAGTCTGGTGTATACAGTGAAGTGGTGGCTGCCGTTACGTGGACAAAACCACCAAAGCAACGTGTGGAAGAGTGTACTGCTCAGTACTCACCTTTCTTCCGTGGTATTCTCCACGGTGAGACACTGTTTGAACCGGAAAGTACAGATAACACCACAATTGAAGAACCTGGCAATCTTGTACTATTGTTGCCAAAGAATAGTCCAGATGGTGCCATCGCAGCGAGTTTACCAGTACCCCGACGACTCTCCGTAGTGCGGGATTTGCTCAACGCTTTACCCGGAGCTGTATTTTGGCAAATACCAGGAAAACTTATTGGTGATGTCTGCACACTCACAATTCCATTGCTATTGCATCACTACGTCACTTATCTTGTACAGGATGATAGTGGTTGGGGTACTGGACTTGGTTTGGTGGCTGGGTTATTTTTTGTTCAAGCAATACAAAGTATCTCACTTCATATGTTTTACTACGTAAGTATTATTGGAGGTCTTTCTTATCGTAGTGCTTTATCTGCTGTTTTATTTGAAAAATGTTTTACTATTTCATCTAAATCCCTTGCTATTCCAGAGATGAGTACAGGACGTATTATTAATATGTTAAGTTCTGATGTTGAGCGAGCCAATGACTTTTTACAATATTGTATGTACCTTTGGAGTTCTCCAACAGTATTTACTGTATCTATAATTCTCTTGTATCAATTAGTGGGATGGTGTGCATTAATTGGAGTTGCGGCCCTAGGGGCTACCCTTCCATTAAATGCGTTTGTAATGCGACGAATGATGCGACTACGACAAAAACTTGTGAAAGCTACGGATGCTCGTGTAAAGGCAACAAATGAATTTTTCTCTGGTATTAGAATTGCAAAGTACATGACATGGGAACCATGTTTTATTGAAGAAATTGAATCTAAACGTGATATAGAATTGCATTATCTTAAAAAGGTTCAAACATGTCGTGTTATTGTGTCTTTTTTAAATAATGCTACTCCTCCTCTTATGATCGCTATTGTATTTGTATTATATAATGTCTTGGGGAATGAACTTACGCCAGAGGTAGTATTTCCTACAATATCCCTTCTCTCTATTATACGCATGCCATTTATGATGATACCAATGGCCTTTAACATGGGAGTTCAGTTTATTGTCTCTATGGCACGTATTTCTGCTTTCCTCGAGTGTGAGAACTCAGCAGAGGATGTGAGAGATATGGCCAACTACCTCGCTTCCCATCATAAGGGAAAAGCCACATGGTGTGAGGCCGCTGCTGTATTTGAAAATGCAGACATCACAGCACTCGTTCCAGTCAAACTCCCACGCGTGCCAAAATATGTAACTTCTTTCTCTGCAAGACTATTACGTCGTTTCTGTTGTTGTGCTGCTTGCCGTCCAGTGGAACACCGACTTTCACCAACGGAGGTGCTGCCGGAGGAAGGGGAACAAACACAAAATGGAGAAACAAAGCTATCAGCATCGGAAACTACTGTTAATTCAGATAGTAATGATGTTACGCAAGAAAATAAAAACAATAAAAATAGTAATATTAATATTAAGAATAATAAAGATAATAAAAATAATAAGGATAATGATAATAAAACAAAAAAGGAAAAACCACAAAACAAACTTGTTGATGACCACTTCCAGTTATTGCCAACCAAAATCCTGACAGATGTCTCCGTAAAGATACCAAAAGGTAAATTGACCATAATTTTTGGTCCAACAGGAAGTGGTAAAACCACCTTGCTGTCAACACTATTAGGTGGATATGAAGTAACCCATGGTCGGGTGTGGGCTACACGCAGCATTGCATACGTACCACAACAACCATGGATTATGAATGCGACACTGCGAGAGAATATACTCTTCTTTTCCCCAGAGGATGCGAATCGGCTGCAGGATGCGGTGCGAGTGTGTCAGCTGGAGATGGATCTACGGCTGTTGGCGAGTGGGTTGGAGACAGAGATTGGTGAAAAGGGCATTAATCTGAGTGGTGGGCAGCGGGCACGGGTGAGTCTTGCCCGTGCAGTGTACGCTGACCGTGATTTGTATCTACTGGACGATCCACTCTCCGCATTGGACGCACACGTTGGCGAGCGGGTTATGTCTGATGTATTGTTGGGGTGTCTGGCTAACAAGACTCGAGTGTTGGCTACACACCAACTTCATGTAATCCCCAAAGCTGATCATATTATTCTACTCGGCAACCAAACAATACGTTTCTCTGGTAGTAGTGAGGATTTTCTAAATTCTGCATTTTACGAAGAAATTTCTCAGCAAGAAAATGAAAATAACAAGAAAGAGTCAAACAAACAGAATCAACGACAGAGTGAAACAGAAAGCACAGGAACAGTGAAAGAAAGGGAAGAAGGACAAGGAGAAGAAGGAGAAAAAGAAAAAGAAAAATCAAATGAAGAAGAGGTTCATGATAGACTGGATGATGACCCCGAAACAAAGAAAGTCCAAGATGGGGCAGAGAAACAAGGTGATGACGCCAATGGGAAACTTATGACAGTGGAAGAAAAAGCAGTGGGATCGGTGCCTTGGTCAACATATACGGCGTATTTTCGCTCTTGTGGTGGTATTCACGTACTAGTGGCTGTCCTTCTGGTATTTCTCTTTACAGAATTATTAACCTTATCATGCAATTTGTGGTTATCTATGTGGTCTACACGTCATTTTGATCTTTCTACAAAGTCCTATCTTAATATATATATGATATTAGTTGTACTTGGAACTGTTACCGTACCTTTGAGATTTAGTATCGCTTATAGTGCTATGCGAAGGGGTTCACGTAATCTTCATCGTCTTATCTTACGTTCTGTTTCCGTTGGTACAATGGAGTTTTTTGACACAACTCCTCTTGGTCGTATCATTAATCGTTTTTCTCGAGATATTGACCGTATCGATGACGCACTGCAAATGACTGCAATATTTTTACTTCAATCAACATACACCATATTTTCATCACTTGCTGTTTCTGTGGAATCTCAGCCGTATATTCTTATTGTTGTTATTCCCATTGCATACATATACTACAGGTTGATGATATTTTATAACGCCTCTAATAGAGAAATAAGACGTGTTGGTAGTACTGTAAAGGCACCAATGTTGTCTCTTCTTGGTGAGGTACTTGTTGGTTCAACTACTATAGCTGCTTTCAGATGTGCACCATCTATTATGCGTGAGGCCTTACATCGCATAGATCTTGTATATGCAGCTTCGTTAGTTGAAAATGTTACGAATCGATGGCTAGGAACCCGAGTTGATTTATTAAGTAATGTAATCGTTGTTGTGATCGCTTTCATTGGGGTTGTGGGTAAAGTAATGCAATTGGGATCGCACGATATTGGTTTAGTTTCCTTAAGTCTCACCATGGCGCTAGCTTCAACAGCGCTACTTAACTGGCTTGTAAGAATGGTAGGAAGCATGGAAGCTGATATGAACAGTGTAGAACGTATTCTATACTATACAGATAATATAGATCATGAGGAAATGCCTGAAATTTCTCAACTTGTGGATGAGATACAAAATAGGAAACGGCATCTTACTGATGCTGCTACTGCGGTGGTGATTGAGAACAGTAATGGCAGCCATAATGGAGAGAAGAATCACCCCGAGACGAATGTGCAGGCGGGGTGGATGGAGTTCCACGAGGTGGAGATGCGCTACCGGCCTGGCCTGCCGCTAGTGCTGAACAAGGTGACCTTCCGCATTGAGCCGCGGGAGAAGGTTGGCATTGTGGGCCGCACTGGCAGCGGCAAGTCGACGCTGCTGCTGACGTTCATGCGGATGGTGGACATCTGCGGCGGCGACATCATTGTGTGCGGGCGGCCGATCCGCGCGTACGGGCTGCGGGAGCTGCGCGGTCTCTTCTCGATGATCCCGCAGGACCCGGTGCTCTTCGACGGCACGGTGCGCTCCAACGTGGACCCGTTCCTCGCGGCGGGGGCGGCGGAGGTGTGGGCCGCGCTGGAGCTCGTCGGGCTGCGGGCCCGCGTGGCGGCGGAGGCCGGCGGCATCGACAGTCACGTGCGGGAGGGCGGCGCGAACTACAGCGTGGGCCAGCGGCAGCTGCTCTGTCTCGCCAGGGCTCTGCTCAAGCGCGGCAGCAGCTTCATTCTCATGGACGAGGCAACCGCCAACATTGACCACGCACTCGACAGGCAGATACAGCACACCGTCATGACAGCATTCGCCGAACACACAGTCATCACTATCGCACACAGACTACACACCGTAGCTCCATATGATAAAATAATCGTTATGGATCGCGGTGTTGTTGTCGAGATTGGATCCCCACGAGATCTCGTTGCCGATCCCTCATCAAGATTCAGTGCCATGGTACGAGCCCTCGGGCCAGTAGAGACAGCACGATTTATGGCGAACGTAGGACATATCCCTTCTCCTACAACTAACACTGATATGGAAAAATCTTAGGATAAGGGAGCGTCACCAAAATTCTATTACCCCAAAGGGGTTCTAAAGAAATAATCCTATAGCGTAAAAATAATGCAGCGTATTTCGTATGTTTTCCTTATTTATATTGTTGTATTTTTCTTTGATTGTTTGTTGTCTTGTAAATAATAAAGTGCAGATGGTTTCCTTTTTTTTTTATTGAAAATGTGGTTATGGTTAAATATTGGATGATGTTTTTCTTTCCTCTTTCTTTCTTTTTTTTCGTTTTCAGTGTTAGTCAGAGACGAAGAACTAGTGAAGTAAAGTAGTGATAAGTGGTGAGAAAATGCGGCGTGGGTGTTCATCCCTTGTTTTAGGAGGACTATTTGAAAGGTCCCGCTTCTTTGGGAATGCACCAAGTCGAGTACGGCCTGTTGAGACACCGCAGGAGTTTGCGTGGCGTCAAAGTGAGCGAGAAGTGAGTGCTATCGTGGCGATAGCAGTGATGTTTGTTGTGCCTGTGTGGCTTATCGTGCTATCAGGCACGCAGCAGGAGGAGAAACGTGAAAAAATGCTCCAAAAGTTGGGTCTTGGCAGTGAAGGTGATCGTGAAGAGTCAAGATGAGTGAGTGATTAGGTCGTAAGAGGATAAAAGGACGCGAAAACACACACACACACACAAAGCGACGTTGTTGTGTTTTTTTTTTTTTTCTTATTTTTCTACTCGTTGTTGTTAGTCCTCTCTCTCTGGATGTTGGCGAATGGATACATTTGTGTCCATAACCCTTTCTCACTCCTTTTTTTTCTTTCGTTCTGTATTTCTTTGATATTTATTTCATTGGTATACAATTTCAGCGTCACGAGCTCCCTCGCCCGTCAACACCTTCATTTCATTCTCCTCCCTTCGGCTCTAGCGAGAGAAATATATATATATATATATATATATATATATATATACAAGAGGTGTGTGAAGGGATAAAATATTTCAAGCGCGAAAAGAGGGAGGGGAGAGGGAGCATTTGCAACTCTTCTCTTTCCCTTTCACTCAGTTTCTGTGTATTTGTGTATTTATTTATTTTTTATTTTATTTTTTGAGTGGTATTGGATACGATGAGACGGCGATACATTGTTTCTCATGCTGCGGGCATAACAACTGCGGTAGCACACAAATTTGCAGGCGGGCGGACGTTCGCACGTGGACGGCCGTACACTCCACTGGGCACTGTGCAGGACTTCACATCCTCACCGCATCACACTCGTTTTGCTGAAATGCAGCGGGAACTAGACGAAATGAACGGACGCCCACCCTCACATTTGTATGAGGGACCAACCGTCACAACAGCACAAGGTGCTCGTCCACTGTTTGAACGTGATATGCGTGAGGATCCGATGAATGATGATTTGCCTGAACACTACGTTGCTGCTAGACAACGCATGATGACAATGCAGAGTGATAGTTACGGTGAATCCATTCGCGGTGTTGTTTCACCACCACCACCGCCGGATTTGAATGCACCGCGGGAGTACCATCAGCAACAGGCGGAGTTGGGTGCCGTTTGGTGGACCGCCATAACACTCATTGTAATAGCGTTTTTCTTAATGGTGAAATTTGGGCGGTAGTCTTGTTTCTCTCTCTCTCTCTCTCTCTCTCTCTCTCTCTCTCTTTATCTCTCTCTTTCTTACACATACAGAGAGGGCGAGGGGAGAGAAGGAAAAAGAGTAAATAAAACTGATGAAGTAATGGAGAAGGAAATAGATTAATTCCATATCCGTCTCCAGTAAGCATCCCAAATTGTATTTCTTGTTCTTGGTTGGTTTCCCTGATGTTGAGTTGTTTCTCTTTTTTATTTTATTTTTTTTCTTCTACCGCATCTACTCTCCTTTCTTGATAATGATTTTTTTTTCTTTTGTGTGTGTGTGTTTTATTTTGCTTAATGTGATTTTGAGTGTTTTCCCCTTATCAATAATCCCCTTTTGTTTCTTTTCTTGTTGTTAACTTTAGTACTGAATAGAGTATGGCTGCTGCAGGCATGCTGCGTTGTTTCGCAATAAGAGCAACAATAGGAAGACCAGCAGCGGGACGATGGTGTGATGGACCCTCCAGTGTTGTTGCAGCTGCTGCGTACACCACTAACACTCACAGTCTCCTTCAGCGTAAACTTACAATGAGCAAACGAAGACTTCAACCAAAGCACAAACCATCTCCAGGTCCATCTATTCCCATTTGTTGTTTTCTGTTAATCGTCACATTGTATATGACGTACATTACACGAGGATCCTCTAATGATGATAGCATTTATCGCTAAATAATGGGGAGGTGAGCTATGGAGTGCTGGTGGAATAGCGGGGAAAATATAAACATGAAGGGAGAGGAGAAAAAGAAGGGAATTGTGATTCCCATCTACTCTACGATCACACTTTCACAGAAACCTCTCTTTGTGTTGCGTTCTGGTTTGATCTAGTTGCCTTCTCCACGATCATCGTGTTTTTTTTTTTTTCCTTTTCTTTTCGTTGGTTTTGGTTTTATATGTTTTTTCTCCCCACTTTGTCTCTCCTTGTTTTTTTTTTTTTTCTATCTTTCTCTCACTCTCTCACATACGTACGTACGTACACTTACACTTAAATTATTATATTGATGGTTTTCACAGGTACAAACGTTGTTTATGCGGCGATGTTACATGTGGATCGTCCTTAGAACTCCAATGATCTCGCAGCCGTTATTGCGGAATTCTGCAACGACGGGAAGTGCCTCCACATTACGCCAGGGATGGCGAGATTGGATACATCGTGTTAAACAGGCATTAACAACATCAACAAGAACACGATGGAATCGCACGGATATTATAGACTCAAAGCGATACGTTTGGGCTCATCGATCCCGCATTCAAAAGAGCAATGATGTATTTCATAGTGCTGGAAAACGTGGGAAAACTCTCTCGCGTGAGGCACTCTTGTTGGAGTTTGACGGTGTAGAATGGTCCTTTATTGTCCTTCCGGCTTCTCTGGCATTACTCATAATACTTGTTATTGCCCTTGTGGATGGTAGACGACGTCAGGAAAGACAACAACAAGAACTGAATTTCCTTAGACAACGAGCAGAGTCTTTGGAATCTATGCGAAAGGAGCAGTCTTTGACGAACGCTGAGAAAAAATGATTAATTGATGTTTTTTTCTTTCTTCTATCGCATTCTCTATCTATCTCTCACTCTCTTTACATACAGGAAGAGTGTTTTTTTTTTTTTTGGTGGGGCAAGTTTAGGGCTCTTAAAAAAGGGATGACAAATTGTTTTGTATATTTTTTTTTCTGCAATCCTACATTTTTTTTTTCTTCTCTTTATTGTGTTACCGATCTATGTTTTTATCTGTGGGAATTATTTCTTTCCTTAATTCTCTCTTACCTTCTTAACTGATTGTTTTGATAGTTCCTCCGGCTTCCAATACAAAAGGTAAAGGAATATAAAATAAAACCAAAAGAAGTAGCGGGAAACATCCAGAAATACAGAGGCGTATAGTGTTATTATTATTATTATTGTTCTTTTCTTGTTATTGCTTTTATTCTTACAAATAGGCCAAAAAAAAATATCAGAAAACAAAAGGAAACAAATATAATCAAAGGGAAGGAAAGGCCGAAGAGGAAGAAAAAGGAAAAGAAAAGAAAAGAAGAAAAAAATGGCGGAAAATGTTCCCCCTTACCCTACACCTGCTTACTCCACTCTTGATGAGCCTATCATGAACACAATTCTTCGTGATGTTGTTGCTATTGGTAGGAAATTGCTTATTGTTCTTGCACCACCACTGGGATCAGAGAAGGAATTGCGGGATTGGGATCTATGGGGTCCACTTCTACTTTGTTTACTGCTTGCCATCATACTTGCTGGTTCTGCAGGAGACAACCAGGGTGGTCTTATCTTTTCAGCAGTCTTTGTGCTCGTATGGGTTGGTGCCAGCGTTGTTACACTTAATGCAAAATTCCTTGGAAGTAAAATTTCATTCTTTCAGACTGTGTGTGTTATGGGATATTGTCTTGCTCCTCTTTGTGTTGGTGCCTTCATTGCCCTCTTTGTACGCGTATTCTGGGTAGTGATGGTGGTCTCTTGCGTTGTTTGGTTCTGGTCTTGTTGGGCCGCCTTACGCTTTTTCCGTGGTTCTGTTGTGCCTCAACGTGAGATGCTTGTCGTTTACCCGGTTGGTCTCTTTTACTTCTTCATGACTTGGATGGTGGTTGCTGGTATTTGAGAAGCAGGTGGTATGCATATATAGTAGAGGAAGCATTACATCTTCTTATATGCTACAATTATCTCTTTTTATTTTATCAGTTAGTGGATTAGTGTGCGTATGCGTATGTGTGCGTGTGTGTGTTTTTTTTTCCCCTCTACTCCGTAATCTATCTGTTTTATTTAATCCCAATACTATAAAACCAAAAAGTTCTCTCATTTCATATTTTTTTTCTTTTTTCTAAATATCTCTTCTTAACGCTTTTTTTTTTCGTTTCTTTTTGATTTATATATATATATATATTGCTGATGCCTAGTTCGACTCGTATAGCTCACTTAAAATGACGGAGAGTAACTATAGCTCTAGAACGAGTGGTAGCTCTACTGTTGCTGAAAGACGATATGAAAAACAACTAGAACTTCTGTGGGGGCCGGAAATGCTCAGTGCAACCACAGCGGAGGAACGAGCCACAATCTTTCAGCAGCTTTACTATGGTTGGATAGGTGATTTTATTAATAAGGCGCTAAAAGAGGAACTCACGGAATCTGAATTGCCACCACCAACACGTCAACTACGCACCTACAATGTTGGACGCAAACTCTCCAGAGAGGTACGTAAGGATATTCGGAAGAAACATTCCTGGGATCCTTTTATAGGTGCAGAGGTCCGTTATCGTGGTGACCCAAGAACACTTGGGTATCTGCGTTGGATTGGTTACCTACGTCAGTCGGATAGACCACACTCACTTCTGGCTGGTGTTGAATGGGAAGTTCCTCCTCTTCACAGAGTTGGTGATGATAACGCCATGTTACTACACGATGGTGTGGTGCATGGTGAGAGACTCTTCCTGCCAATACGCCGATGTTGCTCTTCCTGTGAACCGGTTGAGATGATTAAATTGATGGTAGAGCCCAGTAGTTGGAATCATTCTAATAGCAGTAGCCGTGGTAATAATAATAATAATAATAATAATAATAATAATAATAATATTGTTACGGATGTTGCTTCTGCTGTTTCTCCTACTGTACCTACACCTGTAGCACCAAATGTCCTGTGGTCGCTTATTAGAGCGCATGCATATCATATGTGGATACAAATTCCAAATAAACTACTAGCAGACCTCTGTTCTGCTCTTACTCCTGTTATTTTAGAACGTTACGTGGCTCATCTTGAGTCAGATAAAGCCTCGTGGTTGGAAAGTGCTGGTCTCGTCCTTGCCGTATTCGTTGTGAGTGTTGTTCATAGCTGTGCCGGTCATAAGTATGACCATATGAGCATTCGTGCCGCTTCTATATTTGAAAACTCTGCGCTAGCAGTACTTTTTGAAAAATGTCTAACTATTTCTGAGAAGTCCCTTATTTTACCTGAAATGAACATTGGTCGAATCATGAATATGGCAAGCAGTGATGTGAGTGACATTGGTGACCTCAACTGGTATGTGGTTTACTTTTTAAGTTCACCATTATTGCTTTTAGTATCTATTCTACTTTTATACCGACTTGTTGGCTGGTCTGCATTCGTTGGTATATCTGTGTTATTTGTGTCTTTTCCAGTTCAAGGTATTTTTTCACGATGGCAGTCTTCCATACGGAAAAAGATGGCGACAATTGTAGACAATCGTGTACGAGCTACTAATGAACTCTTTTCTGGTATCCGTATTGTGAAATTTATGACTTGGGAACCTTTTTTTCTAGCAGAAATTGAACGAGCACGAGAAAAAGAGGTAGAGTGTTTAAAGTATATACAGTATACAGAAGTAGGACTAGCATTACTTAATGGTGCCACACCAACACTCGTTATTGCAGTAGTATTTCTCTCATATTACCTTAGCGGTCATGAACTCACTCCTACTATTGTATTTCCAACCATAGCACTATTAAATATTTTACGTATTCCATTCTATATGATTCCCGTTATTGTTTCTGCAATTTTACAGTGTCTCGTTTCAGCGCGACGTCTCACTATATTTCTTGAATGTGAAAATAGCCATTCTGATGTGCATAACGTATTACGAATGTTTTCTTCTGGAGTAGATGCTGCTTTTGATGAGGTAACAGTATCAACTTTTACACCGAAACCACTTCCAAAGTGTCAAACGAGGACTTCAGGGACAATAAGGAAAATTTTTGCTTTACTTCGAACTCGAAAGTTTCCAGAGAACGAATGGAGGCTATTGCCGTGTAGCGATGAAACTACCGCTTCTGCGACAAATAGTCTCAATGACAATAATAATAATAATAATAATAATAATAATAATAATAATAATAATAATAATAGTAATAATAATAATAATAATAAGGATAATAATAATAAAGAGGAATCAGAGAAAGAGGTAGGAACTGATGAAAACGCTGATTTTCATCAATTATTACCAAAGGAACTCCTCGTAGATGTCAATCTTGTGATTCCTAAAGGCAAATTAACTATAGTGGTTGGCACAACAGGAAGTGGTAAAACCACCTTGCTGTCAACACTATTAGGTGGATATGAAGTAACCCATGGTCGGGTGTGGGCTACACGCAGCATTGCATACGTACCACAACAACCATGGATTATGAATGCGACACTGCGAGAGAATATACTCTTCTTTTCCCCAGAGGATGCGAATAGGC